ATTCTTCAGCACAAATCAGAAGGCCTTGCTTCTCCTTCTAACAAAAGGTAGCTAGGAGTCTTCTCAATTGAATTTGTAGAGAAGATCCTCAAGGTGAGAGGATATTATTCTTTCCTCTAGCTACAATTTATGAAAACGGTTATCAGTTCCCCAAGTTCTTTTTGGGACAGGAATGAAAAGAAGACAATGGAGTGTTTTTGAGACAGCTGATCACCTCTATGTTTGGGTGACCTTCTAGAAATGTGTCCAGACATTGGCGCAGGTTTTGTCACAACAGAAACAACTATAGTCTTTGCTCCTGAGAATTTTAGATAACAACAGATATGCTTCTTATTGCAGTGACTTCAATGGCTGAAGAGACATCCATCTCTCCTGATAATAGAGAGAGAAAAAACCAACTACTTCAGAAAAAAAATTGAGATAGAAGAGCTTATGCTGACATATTAGTAATTTTCAGCTACATTATGTTCACTAATCCAGACTTGGGAAAAACAGCTTCTAATCTGAAAAGTTACAGAGAAGTAGTATCTGGTCTTAAATTTTTGTGTTCTCCCTGGATGAAGTCCTGAGATTCTGGAGTTGTTCTTGAACTCAACCAAGCTAGTTCACAATATGCTGCATTTTAACTATACCACAGTGCTGGTGAAAGAAATCTTTACACCAAAAAAGCATATGGATTTGATAACTTGCCCTGGAAAATTAAGGACATCTGTTTTTTTGCTGTAAACATTTTTTTGAAAGTCTAAACATAAAGCACTGGTCCAATTCACTAATATTTTGGAATGAATTAGTTACGATATTTCATAATAGAAATGGATTGCAGGTTTTTTGTAGTTGAAAAAAATCAAAATTTTCACATTATCAGTTAAACCCACATTGGAAAGAAACATTTTGAAAATTGAATTTATTTTAAATAAACTTGGTGGCAGGTATCTAGCAGAGAAAATCCTTCTAAGATGTAGAAATGCATTTTTAAGAGTTAAAAGAATCACATATGTTGGAAATCATTTGCTGATATCTAAAATATTCCTAAATTTTTATATACTGTACTTTCTTTATTTGAACTGGCCATACAGTTTTAATCAGTTTCACTGTGGTAGATTTAGCTTCACTGAAGTAGATACACTGCACTGCAAGATGAACAGAAGCCTTATGTGCCACAGATTTCCAACATAAACTGTAATTCATAAAGGCCAACACAACTCTTCTCTTTGTAGCTGGGTAACCATTTATGTTTGAGGTGAAGATGTTAATATGGAAATTTTGTGAGCTAGAAAAGAGGACGAACGCTATCATTCTAATTTATGACCTTTCATATAAGGCCAAATGTAAAGCCAACTTCAATTGTTTTATATCTCAGGGCCAGCACAGAGCAGATGTATGAAATTTGGAGTATTAGACATAAACTTTTATTACCAAATTATAAATAATTTCTCCCACTTATAATGTTCACCTTTCAAGTTCATCTTGATTAAAATACAAGGGCAGCATCACACCGATTTCACTGAATTTTACAGCTGAGAGAGGTTTTCTAGAGTTCATGATGGAGTGTTAAGCATCACAGCATTTGGATAACTCTCCTCACAGGAGTTCAGGACCCTGACCCATCTCTGCTGAAATTCAAGTTATACCAAAATGATGGCTGATGAAGTCTGAACACTTATTTAAACATCTCAGTGGTATATCTGAAACCAAGCGCCCATGATGTAAAATATATCCCATGTTTGGGTAAAAATAAAAGGCACACTGCCTTTCCTGAGAAATTTGCGCATCAGTCAATAAGCTTATATTACTTCGCAGAAGATATTCAACAACTATGGTGTCTTTATGCTCATTTTCTTTAACAAATAATTTCCACATCCCATGAGATAATGTGGATAACAGTGCTCCAAATACCCCAAACTAGTATGTGACAGGTTAGGTGTTTTTATTGTCCAGTCTGAATGTCCAGGAAAGGTTCAAGGGCATGCCAGCACTTCATACCAGTTGATGCATTTTGGAACAAGACCAGCCAGTATTCTTAGACGCATAATACTGATGTAGGTATTAAAATCTACTTTGGAGAATGTTGATCAATCCAATTGATCATGTTTGTATCTATCACCATCAGCATTAACATAATAGAATCACCCACATGTCTACAGGGCTGTTGGATGTTTTATAAAATAAGCCAGACATGCTACGTTCTCTTATGAACACAAAACACTGAAGGACATAGTTTTTTAAAGGCATAGGTACAAAGAACTATAGAAGTTTGGAACAAATAATGAAATGGCAAGAGTTACTTTAGTATTATTATATCAGCATTTGCCTATTTTAAGAACAATAGTTTCAAAAGAATGAGAAGACAAGTCACAGACAGGGAGAAAATATTTGCAAAAGATATATCTGATAAAGAGCTATTATCTAAAATATACAAAGAACTCTTAAAATGGGCAAAAGTTCCAAAAAGACACCTCACCAAAGAAGATATATAGACGACAAAGAAGCATGTGAAAAGATGCTCCACATCTATGTCATTTGGAGTTTGCAAACTAAAACTGCACTACATACTTAGAATGGCCAAAATCCAAAACACTGGAAACACCAAATGCTGGTGAGGACGCGGAGCAACAGGAACTCTGAGACATTGCTGGTGGGAATGCAAAATGGTACAGCCATTTTGGAAGACAATTTAACATCTTGTAAAACTAAACATATTCTCATGATACAATTCAGCAATTGCACTCCTTGGTATTTACCCAAGCGAGATGAAAACTTATGTTCACACAAAACCTGCACACAGACATTTATAATAGCTTTATTCATAATTATCAAAACTTGGAAGCAACCAAGATGTCCTTCAGTAGGTGAATGGATAAATAAACTGTGGTACATCCAGACAATGGAATGTTATTCAGTATCGAAAAGAAATGAGTTACCAAGCCATGAAAAGACATGGAGGAAACTTAAATGCACACTACTAAGTGAAAGAAGCCAATCTGAAAAGGCTGCATACCGTGTGATTCCAACTTTACGATATTCTGGAAAAGGCAAAACCATGGAGACAGTAAAAAGATTTATGGTTGCCGGGGGCTAGTGGGGGGAGAGGGACGAATAGCCAGAGCGCAGAGGATTTTTAAGGCAATGAAAATACTCTGTATGATAACGTAATTGTGGATACACCTCATTATATGTTTGTCAAAACCCATAGAACGTACATCAAGAGTGAACCCTAATATAAACTATGGGCTTTGGTGATAATGATGTGTCTGTGTAGGTTCATCATTTGTAACAACTAAACTTAACTAAACTATGTAAGCTAAACTAAACCTTGTCAAATTATTTTTATGACTTTAAGGCTCCTTAATAAATTAATGTTTGTGTTCAGGGTTTTGAAGACTAGATCTTGGTGGACTAGTATTCAGAAAAAGTCTTGCACATGTTTTCTGTGTATAATAAAAGATGCTAAAAAAGACCCATGAAATATGGAAAGTTGCTTTGCAAATTGGTAAAAGCCAATTACAAGCTGCTGAGGGGGTTCTGGGCACCACCACATTTTGAGAAACTTGTGGGCTCGTGAAGTAATTCATGGTGTCCACCCACTTTGTCTAGCTGGGCCCTTATAGATCCAAGCCAGAGAAAAAGTTGCAGCAGCTCTGCAGATGAACCATGCCCTTAAAATTTTTATCCTCCTGGTCCCCTGCCCATCATACTGGTCTTAATGACTCCATCAGGGCTCTGTGGTAAGGGGAAAGAGGCTATGAATCAAAAAGTCCTTTTTTTGAATAATTGAAACAACCAGTGAGGAATGTGGTACAATTTGATGTCCTTTGTGAAGAAGGTCTTTAGAGACAGGGCTTTATATTCTATTGTTTGTTCTTTGCAGCTAATTATTTTATTTAAATGATACTTTACTTAAAAATTTTAATTTACATTAATTTCATATTGCAAGATCTTCACATATAGCCCTTTCAATAATTCTGTAACGACTTGGTCTTTACCCAAAATTAGCTTTCATAGAAGGATATAAGGAAGCCTTTTCTTTTCTACCAAATCACACCCAGTTGTTCTCTGTCCACCATATCAATCAAAAGTTCTTAGGCTTAGGAGAGAGGGAACTCATTTTTGTCTTAGAAAAAAATTCTGCATCTTAGATTCTATAACATTTAACAGGGTTAAGGATCTGTTTGAATATTATCACTTTGTTTATAGCGTTACAAATCATAAATAGAATTAAAGTATCCGTTTTAAGCTGATGAAGGTATATGTGTAGGGGGAAAAAAAAGAGTCAAGTCTTGGCATAACAGTTTTCTTCTTTTTCCTCTCCCTTTCCATTAATAGTAAGAATACTGAGAATTCATGCAAAATTCCAAACCAAGTTCCCATAGCAGCGCTTAAATACTGTCTGCACGCCATTTCCAATTAGAACTAGTTTGTAATGTAACGCAACTGATGCCATTAGAATACGAAGTTACTTCCGTGATTTAATTCTTTTTGTGTCGATTAATGTTGCCATGGAAACAACCTCTTGCTAATAATGACTTCGTCTTCACATATTTAATCAAAATCCAAAGATGGATTTAAAGATTTGAGGCTGCTTGTTTTATTTATTTGCATTCAATTATTCAAGGACGTTTCCAGATACGTATAGTCATTACTTTAGCAGGAAATTCCAGTTTCCCATGACTTCAAGCTACTTACATTTCTGCCCAAAAGAAATCCTGGCTAAAAGATCACTTCCAGTTTTCTTGTTTTGTTTTGTTTTTCTGTGGAAGAGGGGTTTTTGCTTTTTATTAGAGAAAGCACTAACGCTTTTTTACTTAATTCCACAACACCCACTTGGACCTTAGGCAAACTGGGATTCTCGGATTCGCATGCTCCGGCAGGGTCCGGCCTTTTCGGTCCCCGCGGGCTGCCGTAGCCAGGGAAAGCTATGATTGGCTGAGGTGGAAAAACCGCAGGCTGGGCGGTTTCAGTTTCGGTTCCGCTTTTTGGTTCACGGAGGCCGGGTGTGTGGGGCGCCTGGAGTGGGCCTCTGGATCTCGGCCAGGAGGTGAGCCAGGCGGCCGCGCGGGCCGTTCGAGGCCCCAGTGTTCCGTCGCCCCGGGCAGGCTTCGGGGAGCCGCAGGCTTGGCCCGACCCGGCCGCCCCTGAAGGCGCCGGGGGGGAGCGCGGGCTCCAGCGCCTGCGGGTGGCGTGTCCCCGCGACGTGCCGCGCTCACCCTCGCTCTGCGGTGCCCGGCGTGGGAAGTTTCTAGTCGTCGGCGCCGGGGTGACTCATGGCGGCCCTGAGAGCCCCTCCCCGAAGGGCGCCTAGACCGCGCGGCGAGCACCTGCGCCGGCCGGCCCCCGACCTCAGCCCGGGGATCCCCAACCTTATCCCGCGGATCCGGCGGGACAGCGGACCGTGAACACAGGGCCAGGCTTCGCCCGGTTTCCAGGGCTTCAGGGAATTGCCCGGCCTCCACTGCAGCGGGGTGGCTGCGCCTGACGCCCAGGCATTAAGAGCTGGACCAGCTCCTGAGTTGTCGGGTTGGGGATGCCCACAGTTGTGTGGCGTTGAGTCCTACCGCCAGGGCTTTTGTGTGTAGGTGTGCTCGCGCGTTCGCAGCGGGTATTTCTGTTCAAAGTGTCTAGAATTAGGGTGATGCAGATAATCTTCATAGTGATTTAGTGTGTCCTCTCCCCACCCCTTGTTAACACAAGACGGTTATAGAAAAATTGGAAATACAGGAAGTTTAGTGAAGAAAATAATATGCATCGAGCCCTTCGACCTACAATCTTATGTGTTTTACTCTTGTATGTGCTAGTTTCTACTTGAAGCCTGCACCTATTTTATCACTTAGTATATTTAGTTTTCCACTTTCATTTAAAAATTATTCGTAAATATCATGTCTAATTTTGTGTCGTCTTTTGATTGGCTACCTGTTCCATCATTGTGTAGGTCCCATGGATTATTCAGCCACTTCCCCACTGGGGCATTTAGGGTGTTTGTGAACTTTTGCTTCATTTTAGTATCCGAGATAATGCTTTTGTAAACTTTTTTTTAAGCTGTAATTCAGTTTATTTACTTGGACTAGATTCCGAGGAGTGAAATTAGTAAAACAGATGCTGTGATCTAGTAGGGTTTTTTTTAGGTTTTCATAAATTGCCAAATTGTTTTCCAAGAAAGTTTTGATGATTTACATCGTTCATGTATGACTGTGCCTGTTTTTCTAGAAGTACAGTAGCTCGGAATACGTTTCTAATACATCAACCAGCAAGGTTGAGCCTCTTTTTGGATTGTTTTATTTTTATGGTGGTGTCTGGCAATTCCATTTGCTTGAGTTTTGTGCAGGAATTTTCAGAGGATTATGTTAGTGTGTGTGTATTATTGGAGTTAGGGCATAGGCTGACTGAGTGTTAGAGCAGGATGATCACTTAAGTGACCACCGACCATCACTCCCTTATTTTGCAGGTGAGGAACCTGGGGCCTTGAGAGATGAAATGATGAGTTACCCAAGGCACACAGCTAATTAAGTAGCAGAGCTAGGATTAGAACTCAGCTTTCCCACCTCCCAAGTGAGTACTCTTTATCCTGGGTGGTCTCTGACTAAACTGTGGCACCCTTAATATTAGAATTTAAAAAGATGTTTATGTCACCTGGATTATTCTATCCTTTTGGAACTGTACCAAGTAACATCTGAGGGATCTGTAACTGAAAAATGGGAAAGTGACCATTTTTCATTGAAATCTGTTATTTAGAATGGTAACCACTTGAAGATTTCTTGGCAGTTGTTTTCAGATTCTCTATTTGTTGGAATAAAATATCTAACGTTATAATTTGTACTCTATCATCTGGTTAGAATTTAATTGTTGGTTCTCATTTGTTATACCTTGAAGATTTTTTAAAACTCTTTGTTGCCTTAAGACCAGAGAACAGTGGTTTTTTGATTTAGGGCTCAGCAGAGTTTCTCAGCCTCGGTTGACATTTTGACATGTCAGTTGAGGCTGGGAACAATTGACATTTTGGGGCAGATCATCCTTTGTTGTGCAGGGCTGTCCTGTGCTTTGTAGAATGTTAAGCAACATCCCTGAGCTCTCTACCTACTAGATACCAGTAGCACCACCCTGCTCAGTCAAGGCAGTCCAAAATGTCTCCAGACATTTCCATATGTCCCTGAGGGTGGGATTTAAAATCACCCCTGGTGGAGAACCACTTGCTTATAGGAATTATTTGGGGAACTTTATTAGGTGTAAATTACAGTGCCTGTTGCCTAGAGAGTCTGACTGGGAGTAGGCTTCAGGAATCTGCATTTTAAAAAGCATCCCTCTTGGTTCGGATGCAGCTGGTTCCTGGACAACATGGAAACATTTCTGTTTTCTCTTCTCCATCTTTCTTTTAATTGGTTCTCAGTAATAGAGATGTTACTGTGTTATAGCTATTTAAGTGCATGGATGATGCTGTACTAGTCACTGTAGCCATAGTCTGGTGGGGAGGGGAAGGGACAGGGATTTCCCTTGGCGCTGCCCTTAAATGCCTGTTCCACAGGCTTAGGTAGTGTGCTTAAGTACCAGGGATACCAAGTGAGTAAGACATTTTCCCTGTCCCCGGGAAGCTGAGAATCCACTATGGGAGACTGGTCAGCAAACAGGAAAACCACAAAACAGCCTGGTAAGGGCGATGACTGAGAGTGGAAAGAGGTGCTCTGAGTGCGTGGAGTATGGACTCACGTGGCCCTTGGGAGAGAGGGGAAGAAAGGAGTACCCTACTGTGTGGGAGGGAGGGCTAGGTATTCCACTGTCTCAGAAGGGAGATATTTAGAGAGCTGCTCTCCTCAGTGTCTGATGCCCTCTGAGACACCGATATGTTAGTCTAGAGCTGCATTTACTTGGCTGGTAGTGTTATGTTTTGTTGCAATTTTTTGCTTTTCAAAGTTTTTGCACCCTAATCTGTAAGTACTCTAAGAGTAGGTGGAAGTTTACAGGTAAACATTGCCAAGAAACAAGGATTTGCATGTCTTCTGCTCAGTGACATAATTCAAAATCACATTAAATATGTTTCTTTCCATTTGACCATTATATTTCTTTGCAGGCTAATTTATAGTACTTTTTCATATGAGATGTTTTCCCCCCGGTGCTACTCTCCAACTAGATCTCTCACTGTCTCGATGGCCATTCCCCAGGTTTCACAAGAGAATCTTGAGATAGTCAAAAGGGCCGCTGTACCTTTGAAAAGGCATAGGCTTTGGGGTCAGCCTTAGTTCTGCTTACCCCTTCACAGGGTCACAGTGTGCATTGCTCATGAATCTAATGTGGCCTGGCACATAGTTGGGTGAATAAAATTTGGTTCATTTTCTACCCCACTTTTTTACTAAAAAAAAAAAAATCTCTGCAGAGTAGTTTGCAGATGTTCTCATACTAGACCTTTCAGTAGCCTCTGACAGAAAATATACTGCCTTTGACTTAATAGCCATTTATGAAAATAGGTCATTTAAAACAAGCCTACGTAGGAGTCAGGGGAGGGAGAGGAGGCGTAGAGGGTGATTATGGCTTTGATTTTGAAGAGAAGTTTTTATCAAGGTGACCCTGCAGAAAGGAGGCCTTTTTCCTCTTAAATGTTTATGGTTCAAGAGGCTTTTCTTTTGCTTCAGAAATGGTCAGAACTGTTTCTTCTGCCTTATCCAGTTTAAAAGATGAAAACTTAAAATTACGTGAGCCAAGTGAAGGGACAAATTGTGGTGTCGAGACCAATTTACTCATACAAAATGGATTTATGGGTAAGTCATTAAGTAACAGGGAGTACGAAGGAAGCCTAATGAAGACAAATGTAGAAGATATGGTCTCCTAAAGTGATGGGTAAAATGTGTTTGAAGAAGCCATCCTCCTTCCAAATAACTAAAAAAAAATTTTTTTCAAGAGATTTACCACAATGTAGATATTCTAGAGAATAAATGAGAAGGTTGGTACTAGTCTCTTCTTTCATGTGGCTTACAGTCTTGTGAGGGAGAAATGACTCCTATAAAAGAAGTAAAGAATATAAAAAAGAGTAAAGAGGGATAGGTTATATGAAATGTAACGAAATGCGAAACGTTATGATGCCAGCACGAAGGGTCATGGCCCATCTCCAGTCCGTGCAAGTCTCTGCTTAAGACCCTCCCACGTTCCCTGTCACTGACTCAGTATTCCCCATACTTGCCAGGTCATAAGAATCTCCTAGGCTTGGGCAAACAGATTCCTGATTCCTACCGCGGAACTACTGAATCGGAATTTCCAAGGAGTCCAAATGATTCCTGTTTGGGAAACTGACCTAGAGGCTCAAGCCCGAGGTCTTGTAGCCTGACTTGCCGTGCTCCCCATGAATGTGGCCTTGCTCCCGTCTGCAGCTGTGTCTTGTCCCCTGTGCCTCTGCAGCATTTCTCCTCAAGCACAGTGTCCAGTGCATTTGCTAAGATTCCTCTCCTTTCGGCTGGTGGACTCCTTTTCCTTCACAGTCGGCGCAGATTCACCTCCAGAAATCTTCCTTTGATCTGCCAGGCCTGGGCTGAGTGAGTCTTCTCTATGTGCTGTTCTCTGCATGATTCTATCCAAATACATACAACTCTTTAAAAATTCTCCGTTTACATGTTTTTTGCCCCCTTTGGAATGTAAACCCTGAGGGCCCAAGGCCATGTCTTATTAGTATTACATCCTCAGCCTAAGTGCCTGACACTTGGGTGCTGTCTGCAAGTTTGAAGTGTTGAATGCCTTCGGGAAGAGATCGGTGTTAATTGGAGTAAAGAGGAGGCTTAATGGCAGAGGTGTGATCTTTGATGAGCTTAGAAGAAGAATATATCTGTGCTTTTTAAAAAGGCGAGGAAAGATAGTATTAATAACATTTTTCAAATAACTAATACCAGCAGTTAAACAACTGATAGTCTAGGTTTGTATTCTTTTTTCTGACGTTAACTTTTAACCTTGGAGAAAGTAGTTAATAATATCCCCGTGAGCTAGATTTTCACATCACAATGCATCTTGGTTTTTTAACACAAAATAAGTAGCTAGTTTTATCTCAGTTTTGTTCCTGAAGAAGCTGGTATAATGGGATTTAGCATCTGATAGGAAGTGAACCTAAGACTCACGACTTGTCTCTATCAGGCCTTTAGAGTTAATAGTCTCTCTAGACCTGTTCAGCCACAAAACAGCACATGTTCAAGACATAAATAAGGCAGTTTATAGATGAGTGGGAAAATCTGTTTGTTTTTACTAAACTCATTAAAGGTACTGAATCTGGTACAGTATTTACTTTGTAATTTTTTTCTTGCGCTCAAAACAGCATAAATAAAATTTGTTGTGTGGTCTGAGTCATGAATGAATGGTGGTTGTCCTGAATAGTAGTTGTAATTTCAGTTATCTGTTGAGACTGTGTAGCTAAAAAAAAATAGACTGGCAATTCAGTGGAAAAGTTAAATTAAAATTTGCTGAGCAAAATAATCGGTTGATCACATTTAAAAAATCTTCCATGCCTTAGGGAGATGGAGTGGATGGGGATGGTCCAAATAACAGACCAAAATTCAAGAATGGTTTTTGAAATTTGTCTTTTCTTTTATTTGACTTAGGATGTTGACTTTTCTGGTTAAGAAAGTTGTTTTACTTAAATCATGATCACTTTTGTTAACTCGCACCCTTTAAACAAGTTTAAATTCTTTTTCTAGATTCCAAGTCCTTTAAAGTCAGAGCCTGTATGTATGACATGTTTTTGAATTTCCTTGCACAGTGTGTACATACACATATTTGTTGAACAAATGAAGAGCCTAACATTCTAGCTGGTCCAAACTGCTGAGCCTGCACGGATTCGCTTTGAGAATGTCTCCAGTGATCTTAAACCTGAGTTCAGATCATTGAGTAGATAGACTTGGAGTGAAATAAGCAGTACTGTTTAGAATGTTTTATGAAAATTTCGGTTGAAAACAACCAAAAGAAGCAACTTGAGTTCTTGAGGAGAGTCCTTGAAATATTGTACCTACACTGGTTTTTAAATGTGAATACTATATGGCTATTAAATAATAGTGATGCTGAATTTGACTGAAACAGAAAAATTAATTTACAAAGTCTTTTTACTCTGTTTTTGCTTAAGTAACTACAGTTTTATTACATTTGCTTACCAAAATAGTTTGAGAGAGATTACACATGTAACAAGATGAGTTTTGAAAGGAGTGATGGGCAACTCGGTGTATCTTCTGTGATTGATTTGGGGATATAGTGCTACATTAACAGCTTTCAGGAGGCTAAGGTTGTGACTAAGAGCATGAGCTGACCTTCTGCTTATGTGACCTTGAGCAGGATGTTTAACCCTTTCTGTGTCTGTTCACCCGTAAAATGAGGAGAAAACGATCCCTCCCTCCTAGGATAGTGAGGGTTAAGTGGATTAGTCCCTCTAAAGTGCTTAGGTACGTGCTGCCATGTACTACGCTCAAATATTAGCTCTCGGTTACGATTATACGTGTTTTCAGGGATACTATTTTGGCATTAGTTGTTAGTAAATATGTCTACATTGTATAACATAGACTTTAATATATGACTGATTTGAGCTTGAATGTTGGTTCCATCACATTTAGGGGCGAATTATTTTGTCTTTCTGTGCCTTTATTTTCACCAGCAAAGTGGGGATAGTAAGACCTTCCTCCCAGGGTTCTTGTAAAGATTAAATTTGATGGTGTTTATAAGGGTCTTAGCAGAGTGCGCAGCATAAAATAAGCATTCAGTAAATGGTGGAGGTGGTAGTGGTTGTCATGAGTATACTGACTCTGTGAGACTGTAGTGACGAGGGATTAAGAACAGGGGCTCTGTAGACACAGGCCTCTTCTGTGATGAGGCTATGTCATAGGGTTGTCTGAGGACTGGATGAGATAGTGCACGTAAAACACTTAGCTTAGTATCCGGCTCCTGGTAAGTACTGAAAACGTTAGCTGTCACGGTGTAGTAGTAGTGGTGGTGGAGTAATGCCACGTCTTCATATGGGGACCTTTGATACTTGATTCCTATAAATATGTTAAGGGCTTCCAGGCTGTTTTGTTGAATAATTAACTTCTGTCTTTACCTTTACTGCTCCCTTTCAGATTTCTGATCAGGATTGTTAAAATGAGTCTGCGGAAGCAAACCCCCAGTGACTTCTTAAAGCAAATCATTGGACGACCAGTTGTGGTAAAATTAAATTCTGGAGTGGATTATCGAGGTAATATCTTCATGTTTCATCCTCACTGGTTTTAACTAAATGAGTAAATGTGACTTAATGATTTTTATTAACCTCTAAAATGTTCCAGATGGACACAAAAAAGCATTGGCTGTCAGCAGTGTTTATGCCCATTTCCGTTTCTACCTCTGAGATGGTTCCTTTTAGAGAGACAGCTCTGACAGCATTGTGTGCTTCTGACTTCTGGTGTGATCTGTGACTCCTGTCTCCTGTCTCTGCTTTGGGGTTGTGCGTGCCTAAGTTCCCTGGTCATAGACAGGGATTTCCAGTCACCCCAGGCGTGAATAACTGGGTACTGAGGAACACCTCGGTACAGCAGCGTTTGTCTTGGCAGAAGTATTTACGATTGGCAAGCATCTATTTAGATGGTATCATTTTGCGACATGAACATCCACTCATATAATATGTGAGGTAGCCAAAGCCACCTTTCTCTTCTTGTAGAGAAGCCTCTTTTCAAGAGGTTGTGACACTACTGAAATTAACTTTGTGGGAGGCATGGTATAAAATTCCATTTTTTTAAGTTGCTAAATTCCTAATCTTTTAAAATTAAGGTAGATGAAATTACTGAGAATCTTTCATAGGTACAGATAACTAATTTATTAGCGGAGTTTTCAAGCCTTTCCTTGGTCTCTTTGCTGAATGATAGTAATCTCTTGAGCTTTTCCCTCTTTCCACACGTGCAAACTGAATTTTATTGAGAGCTTACTGTGTGTCCACTGTGTGTTAATCACTTTCATTTTCATTTTATCCTCACATAAACCCTTTGAGATCTCTGTGGATTGTCCTCACCTCATAAGGGAGTAGCCAGGATGCAAACTCAAGCTTGACTCAGAAGCCTTAAGAGATCACTTGGCTGTTCATGTACTGCTTTAGTTTCTTGACGTTAATAACATCTCCAGTTTAATTTGATTTTTATAGTGGAACTAATTTTATTTATACTGAATACTGAGATATTGTGAAGTCTCTATGTACTGCTTCTCACCCTTGAGCTTTGGATGAGCCTCTATGTACTGCTTCTCACCCTTGAGCTTTGGATGAGCCCAAAGGAAGTAACAGACTTCTAGAGATTTGAGTATATTTAACAATTGATTCGAGTGGGGACATTGTGTTCAATATCTGCTCAGGACCTGCTTCAAGGGGAGATCACCCAGCGTGACCTTTTTTCTCTATACTCTTTAGAGAAAATTTTTCTATTTATAAAGGTAATATATGTGTTTTTCTTTTTTTTAGAAATTTCGAAGCAAATAATGGAGAAAAGTATTTAGAATAAAGCAAACTTGCCCAAAATTCTACCATCTAGAGATAATCAGCTTTACCAATTTGGACTTCTCTCCCTATAAGCATAATTTCACATAAATGGGATCAGTTGTACATACACCCTGAATTTTATTTCTTTTTACATTAAAAAATACATTCAGTTCTCTGACAATATAGTGTTTAATGGCTGCATAGGAGTATGTTGTGTGGATGTACCACAGTGTTGTTTTTGTTTTTAACAGTTTCCATTAATGGACATTTAGGTGTTTACCAATTTTTTGCTATTATAAACAACTCTGCTCCTCTGACATGTCACTTGTCCAAATATCTCTCTTCTTTTTTTGTTTCTTTGAGGAAGATTAGCCCTGAGCTAACATCTGTTGCCAATCCTCCTCTTTTTACTGAGGAAGATTGTCCCTGAGCTAACATCCATGCCCATCTTCCTCTATTTTATGTGGAACGCCACCACAGCATAGCTTGATAAGTGGTGCGTAGGTCCACACCCGGGATCCGAATCTGCGAACCCTGGGCCGCCGAAGCGGAGCATGCGAAGTTAACCACTACGCCACTGGGCTGGCCCCCCAACTGTCTCTTCAGAATAAATTCCCTGGGCTAGTGTTTCTCAGTCAAAGAGCATGCCATATGACCCTCTGTTGGGGCAGATGGGTTCATTCTTCTCTATGTTCTCACCAACCCTTATATTAGTCTTTGTTTTCAACTTTTTCATTCTAATTGGCAACAAGTAATACATCGTTTTATTTATATTTCTTTGTTTACTAGTGAGGTTGAACAACTTTTCACATGAGTAGTAACCATAATTTTTCGCCTTTTATGGATGTCTATTCATGGCCTCTACTCTAGTAAAGCAAAATGTACACTCCTGAGAGCATTACCATGAAGATTGCTCTTATTTTCTGGTTAAATAATAAAGAACCCAGCTCTTCTCTAGCAATTTCTCTTTAAGTTGGAAGAAAACTTCTTGTTTTCTGTTATTCATAGTAGTTTATCCCTTAGAAAAGGGAGGGGGTTACAATTCCAACCTCCTGGAACTGTTTTCTTAAAAAACGTTTGCTATGAGAATAGATATTCTTATTAGAAGTGAACATTTCATTTTTAAATGCTTTTAATTAATTTTCAAACATTTGCATATCATGTCTCAGAAGTTTCTTATTCGTTTATGGTTGTAGTTTAGATGTAAAATAATACAGCAGGAAATAAATTGTAAAGTTGTATCTTAAGCTTTCTTTTGATAGGAAATAATTGTTATTAATTGTTCACAGTCCATTCTGATTCTTTGAAAGTTTACAGGTTCTAGCAGAATTCTGTTCGATTAATGTCTTGTGCTCTTGTTACACACACACAATTTTGAGAAGAAAACTTTTTTGTTTAGAGGATAATGGGGGTAGAGGCAGAGAGTGAGGAGCATATTAACGAAGTTGAGACCAAATGAAGCTATTGACTTGGTTAATTGAATCAAATTTGTAGTATTTGTTTTTTCTTAAAATTTTTTATTCTAGAAAATACCCCTTTAAAATTAGAGACTCAGAGTTAGAGGCTTATATATTTTCATCTTTTGAAAAAAATCATCAGGTCAAATTTTGCAAAATTTATACCATCTTGACAACAATTAAAAAGATTCACTTGAACAGTTTCCTTGAAAGCTCCCTAGAATGTTTTTGGCCATTTTTCTATATCAGTCTGGATTTGAAAATATTATAAGTGTAACAAAACAGAAAGGGATATGTTCTGATGCAGTATGTCGCCCTGTGTCCTCAAGCTGCTCTTTGCTGTGAGTCACAGCTTTAAGATGTTCTTTCAGGAGCACCTGCTGTCTCCTCTTCTATTATGTTAACAGATTGTGCAGACTTCCTCTTAACCCTGGAGTACATTCATCTGCTGCAGTAGATGTTGTGCAAGAATGAAATAAATCTGCCAGGCCCGTGTTTCAGTTAGTGGCTAAAGTAAGAAATGCCACTGGAAGTGAGGAGTCTTGGCTAATGGTCATTTGTTCTTGCATAATTGCCCACTCCTGTTTTTAGCTTTCAAAGAATGGCATTTTATTTGGAATATTCATATTATGTTACTTTTGTGAAGGCTTTAAAAGTTGCTGTTGTTATCACACATACCATGAGGGAAGTGACAGTTGTTGTTTCTCCTTCTGGCAGTGGGTGCTTGACTGCTTTCGTGCTGTACGCTTAGCCTTCATTCAGATTGGCATAGAGTAAAGACACTTTTTTGTGCTTCAGTCTATTGAGTTTCATTTACAGTGTGAATTTTTATATTAAGCGTGTAAGAGCTAATGAATAAAGAGATTGTCAGCTCTAAGGTATACTCTGTAATTTTCAACTCTTTGCTTTGTATCTCTTCTCTTTGAATAAATCTCTCTCCAGGGGTCCTGGCTTGCCTGGATGGCTACATGAATATAGCCTTGGAGCAGACAGAAGAATATGTAAATGGACAACTGAAGAATAAATACGGGGATGCATTTATCCGAGGCAACAATGGTAATGGGCCTTCACTCTACAGTTGTACAACATCCAAAATAAGCCTTTTTGTTTATAATCAGGATCACCAGCAAGTTTTCTAGATAATTTAAAAGTTCAGTTTTAGTTTTGCTTTATTTTTAAATTCTTATATCTCAGCTCTTTCAGTGTGACCAGTTCTTTTTTAAATGCTTCATGCAATTTTTCAATTAGAAATTCTCTCCTTCCCTCCCTTTACTGATTAGGAACTGGGAGGCATTGGTATACGACCCAGAACTCTGTTCTTTTGGATACAGTTTATTCTGTTCCCCCAACACTGCCTCTCGCACTGGAAGGTGGAGCTGTGAGAATGGCTACTACTTCCCTGCTGTCTTTGGTTTGCATCATTTGGCAGTTAGCTTGTCCTGTTTCTCTGTTAAGTGTACAGATGGTTTTTGTGGAAATTTATATCCTTTAGTTTGGCAAAAATGACAAAATAAGAAATATAGTTCTAAAGTTACTCTGCTTTTTAACAGCTAATATATTGCTATGATTATTATGGTACCTTGGTAAGGTACCAAGGTATTAAGTACCTTGTTTAAAAACACAATATCAATAAAGTCATATTTGAATTTTTGAGGGGGAAGGGTAAGACATCAAAACTGTAGAATTATTCTTTGACCTATCCCCACTTTTTGGTCCCATCCGCCAAATGGAGTCCCGAGACTCTTGTGTTTGGATTTTTTTGTTGATGGGCATTCTTTAGTTCTGAATAACTTCGTCAACCCTCTTAACAGTTGGATCTTTTTGCTGTGAACTAAATATCCTGACTTTTATTATAGGTATTGTCTCCTATTCTTCCAGTACCATATTTCTTCACGTCATATCTTTATATACATCTTTTGCTTGCTTTTTAGTCTTCTCAACATGAAGAATTTCTTCTATTTTTCATATTGTTCTTATTTCAGTCCCTCCATTTACTAAGAAATGTTATGATCTTTCCCCATTTCAAGACAGCTGATAGCAGCAGTCAGCTGCAGGTTCTGTGTGTGGTGGCAGGGTAGATCCTGTCACATGCACACTACATCTGGGACCTGCCCGGCTTCCCAGGGATGTGTTTACTATCATTCTGATGCTTCCCTTCATATAAATTTTTCTGTGATGTAATCAGTGGTAGTTATCTTTAGATTCCCAATTTCACATCCTTAGCTCTTAAACAGGATCCTGACTTATTTGATTAATCTGTGCTGTGTTCTTTGATCAAGATATCTCTTAATGTTCACTTTGAACAAACCTGTCACAATCTGAGTAGGCATGGGAGGTAGGAGGGGAGGTACACCTCTGGTGAAGGCTTGACCAGAGTGAACCAGTCATCACATTTTGTCTTATTCTTATGTACCACGTAACCTAAAGGGTTCAGTTTGAGTGGTCACGAGAGGACTAACTAAGCAAAACTCTGGGTAACGCCAAGGTTGATACTTTAACAGGGAACTCGGAATAAGGACTTTGGTATCTTTAAAAAAAATAAGAAACTCCTCAGTTCTTGTTTTTCCAATTAAAAAAGTAAACAACAAGTTTAGAGTTTATATTGGGGAGATGGATAAAAATATGTTCTTTATCTGAAGTCTAGTCTGGTAGATTTACTGATATACTTTATTACAAGTATAATTATTGTACCTATAATTATAAAACATTCTTTGGTTCCGGGGACATTTTATTTTATCCTCCTGGTCATAGTTTGCAAAGTTAGATGTATAGCTAATCTAGAAACACAGTCCTATAAGACATCAAACCCAAGTCCGATTCATAAAATTAGTCTTATAGTAGTTCTAGAATTTACTGTGTGGTATGAAAACTCGTTTTAAATTTGTGGAATTGTCAGACCAAAATCTTTTTGCTTTTAAAACTTGCTATTATGGTACCTAAGAACAGTTTTTTTCAATTAATTTATTTTTTCTTTTCAGTCTTGTATATAAGTACACAGAAGAGGAGGATGTGAAGACACGAAGAGTTGTACACCAAGTACAATACTTTTCATTCATACTTGGATCTATATTTTATGAAGTTTTTGGTTCTTTTGTGATATAATTTGTCCTATTTCATAATAGTTGGTGATTTTTCACTGACATGTGGGTAACATATGTATAAAATTGTGGATTTAATTATAAAGAGTTCTTTCATATTTAAGTTTCAGTCATTTTCTTTTATTGGTATGTCAGTGTGCAGAATGCAAAAAAGAATAAAAAAAACAAAAAAGAAAATCTATTTCTCCCTACACGATTTTTAACTTAAATTTCAAGCAGTCATTTGATTTGATTGCTTTCCTTATGCGGCTGACTAAAATGATATGTATGATAATTATTAAAACATTTTAGAGAGATCCTTATTTATCCCATCCCCTTCTATTTGCCATACAAAATACTTGAGTGAAAATGTTCTATAAAGGCATGTGGTTTCATTCTGAGGCTGAAAAAGGCCCATGCGGTCAGTAGTTCAGTCTCTGGTTCAGTCGCCTGGATAGAAAATAGAAATGGGGATCTAACAGTGGCATTGCCACAAAGGGAGTGGGAATCCAAACTGAGTTGGAGAAAATCTGAAAGTTACCAAAATGCCAGTTGGGTGAAAATGTTCCATTTATGCCATGTCTGTCCGCAGTCATCTTGTGTCTCCTCCTGTGCAGTTAGACCTGTTAGATTTTCTTTCTCCCTTGCAGGAGCATTGGCGTCAATGTCATTCTCTCATTTATGAACATAGTAGGGGAGGAGCCATTCCTGTACATCTGTCTGGCAGTCATTTATTTAGATTAAAGCAAAGCCTGGAGTTTGTAAACTTATGTGGGTTCCAGTTGCTAAACTGATTGGGGAGGAATTTCTCCTCACTCTTGCTTAGGGAGGGGCTTTCAGGATGCCCTTCTCTCAAACCTGAGCTGTGTTTGAGTGTGACGTTGTCCAGCAGCAGAGCACCGAGCATTCATGTTGCTTGGCACAAGGCAGCCCCTCTGTGTTATGTGACTCCTGCTGAGAGGGTTTTCTCAATTTATTAATGAGATTTCCACAACCCTGCTTTATTCTCTGAACAGTTTATGCTGTCTCTAGGAACAACAGATATATCTGGGCCCTGTGGTTGAATGAACACCAGACAATTGTGTGAACGTTGTATTGGCCTTCCTCTTCCCTCCCACCCCAGTCTAAGCAGCATTCCTCTTCTAGAAGCCAGTGGTGTGATTTTAAACAATTGCCTGGTTGAAGGATGTGGGGGCAGGATAGGGAAGGAGGGAGGAAAGGGGTGATGCTGGTCTGAAGAGGTATATGTGGCATTTTGTCTTATTTTAAAGATCACAGAGTAATTGGAAACAATTATTTTTTAATTAATAACTCGGGAAAGGTGAACAGAAACATTTTACAGGATTTTACTGTGTGCACACCATAAATAAAACACTTAATACTTTGCTTCAATAATTTATCACTTCTTGACAGGGGCTTGAAAAGGGTCCAGTCTGTAAGTACAAATCACCAATTTGCCCTTATATAAATGACTTTTTTAAGGAGAAAATGGATGTCCCTCCAAGTGGAGCATACATGTTCTCATTTGTTTTGTAGAACATGTGGGCTGCCGGGTTACTGTGTCTCTTCATTCACTTACATCAGCTGCTTTTAAAAGCAATTCCACTGTTATCTCCCACCAATCTGTGGCATCCTGTTTTTGCTAACTTCTTCCCTGCCCTCCTTTCAGTGTATGTCTTTAGTTTCCCCTCGCCGTCTCTCTATTTTAATAGCTCTATGGTGGAGTAGTGTTTTCAACCCTGGAACTACTTTTCATCAAGATCGACTTTGGGAAATGCTACCATTTTTATGGTAGTAAAGGACTGTATTATGCACTTGTACCAACGCAAGTTGTCCCCTGTGTATACCTTCCAAAGTAGAACCATGAAGCTAAGTGTAAATGCTAAAATTACCTTTTTCTTTTTTTTTTTTTATAATTTTATTTATTTATTTTTTTCCCCCAAAGCCCCAGTAGATAGTTGTATGTCATTGCTGCACATCCCTCTAGTTGCTGTATATGGGACGCGGCCTCAGCATGGCCAGAGAAGCGGTGCGTCGGTGCGCGCCTGGGATCCGAACCCGGGCCGCCAGCAGCGGAGCGCGCGCACTTAACCGCTAAGCCACAGGGCCGGCCCACCTTTTTCTTAAATGTAGTTTCCTAGAGGTCAGTGAATGATTTCCAATTGCATTGTAGCAAAGACATTTGTTCTAGGTTGAAGAATTTTTCACTTGAGAAAATATATTTTCCCTGTCTCTCTGCCCTCAAACCCTGGCTTCCACGCTCTTTCTCTTGGGCTGTGACAAAACAGAATGTTTAGTGAGAAACAGAAAATTGTGCTTGATTTTTTTTTTAGACTATCTGACTTCATGTTCTGTTTTGGTCTTCTGAGCTATTCCTTGGCTAATCTTCCAACAAGTTGAATTGATTCTTACTTTAAAACTGTTTATCCCAAAACAGAGCTGTTGACAAGTACAAATACAGATGGCAGACATGTGGTATGATTTTCATGTTCTTGTCTTAGCATTCAATAAGGGAATGTTATTGAGAGATGGTTTACATCTTAAGCTTTTTTATTCAGGGCAACGTGGAGTGCATACTGGGAGTGTTTAATTATGTGACAAATAGTAACAAATGTTTAAGGGATTTCCTTAAGGTCTAAAAGCTCGGCAGCGTTGACTTGGTGTGTATGGTTTATCACCCCAGAGGCTATAATAATCTACTTTATAAGGATAGAAGCAACTTCTGGGGGAAAAAATTGTCTTTGATAATCACACTGACTTACGAGTGACCTTAGTACAGCATTGCAGGCTGAAGGGTCAGTCTTCTCCTTTCCTGTGGACCGACACTGACCTTTGTGCTCAGAACAGATGATCTTCAGAGTATTGGCTTGCTCTCCCATTCAGAGGCAAATCCCAACCCATTCTGTGGCCAAGGCTATTCTCCACAGCCAAACTACCTTAACCATTCTTCTCTCCACAAAAAGAAATTGTTGGTGAAAGGAAGACAAACTACAGTTTTGTCTCCCATGACCTTGTTTCTGCACTCAACAGCATGTCTCTGACTGCCCTGACTAAGATTGCCCCTGATGGATGTTGAGCTAGACTCCACCCAAGAGTTGCAGGGTTAGTGCTGACCTCTCTGGGCTCTGAATATCTAGCAACTACTTTCATTCCAACAGCTGCTGCCAGTTTGTCCCAGTGCATGGCAGTGCAACCCCGAGTGTCTCTGTTGTTGGCTGACCAGCTTTGACTCACCAGTTGGAGTCCAGTTAGACAAAGTGGGGGCAAGACTGCACAAGTGGACAGGCAAGAGCGGTACATGCCGAGTGACAGGACAGTGGAGGTGACCTTAACTGATACCTGCTCTGCTCCTCTCTCAGCCTGCTTCCCTCGTCTAGGAGGAGGGAGAGGTGGCCAAATAGTGGGGATTTGAGAAAGTGGTAGCAGAAGTCAGTTTAGCATTTTATTGCATAACTGTAGGTAGGCACTGTGCTAGGCCTTGTGGGGGACAAGGAAGTAAATATGACCCTGTTCATGCTCTCTGAACTGAGTTTGTAGGTTTGGGTATTTATGGGAGAAAGTGATGCTATTCATCCTTTTTTTTTCTTTAATTGGGCCAAAATTTTGAGAATTCTTTTTAAAATCTGAACACTTTAGATGGATTTGATAATCTCAATTGTATGTTCATATCTTGAAATTTCAGATAACCTCAGGACTAGATAATTTTGAAATCTGATTATCTCCATCTATCTATCTATCCTCTTTGCCCACAGGCCCATGTGGTTCAGCCTCCTATTTTTATACCCTTTTTTTCCCCATCTAGCAAAGGCCAGATTTTCTGTTTTGATTCATCTGTCTTATTGAAAGATTTTCTTTAGTAGTAATTTCAGAGTTATAACAGATAGAAAGTGGACATATTCTAGGATCTTCATAAAATCGTAAAACACTGGAGCAGTTGGGATAGACTAGTTTTAAAAGTCTTGTTTACAAAATGTTCAAATCCATATGGACTTCATTAATTCCAAGTTTTATATGGCATGGATGCTGGTGGGTTTGGCAAAATATGGTACCAATAATTTGGATTAAAGGAGAAGCCAGTTTGTGAAAAGTTGGCATAAAATGATTTTAGAGAAACTATTATACTACCATCATGTGCATATAGTGTTCCAAATCAGTATTCAGTGTTTATATCAAATAGAAGTCCTACTGAACTTGCAATAATGAAGAAAAAATTAAAAATTTGTAATCAGCATGTTGATTGGATGTTGAGTGGATGTTGCTAGGACACAGGACGACTTTTTTTTTCTCCCAAGTGGTGTGTCAGTCATAAACAACCCCCACGTCTCAGTGGTTTGAAACAACAAGTGATTCTCACTCATGCTCTACATCCACAGGGGCTGATAGGTGGAACTCTGCTGATTGTGGTCATCTGGAGGTCCAGGCTGAGGGTAGCAGCACCTTATGTTTCTACCATCTCTACGTGATTCAAGGCTTGGTGCTGCAGGGGAAGGGCATAAAGAGTCATGCCCTGGCTCTTAAATGCTTTTGCTTAGGAGTGACACCAGTCATTTTCACTCCATTTTATTTATTCATTCATTCATTCATTCATTTTGCTGAGGAAGATTCACCCTGAGCTAATATCTGCTGCCAATCCTACTCTTTTTGTGTGTGAGCTGCTGCCACGGATGAGTGGTATAGGTCCACGCTCGGGGACTGAACCCAGGCCGCTGAAGTGGAGCATGCTGAATTTAACCACTAGGCCACCAGGACTGGCCTCACTCCATTTTATTAATCAAAGCAAGTTTCATGGTCTGCTTTAAGTTTCCAGGAAAGTGTAATACTTGTATGGACCCAGAAGTAAAGAAAACCAGAAATATTAGTAAACAATGATAATATTTACCACAGTATGTGTATTAGGGTTCTCTAGAGAAACAAAACCAATAGGAAGTGTGTGTGTGTGTATATATATAGAGAGAGAGAGACAGATTTATTTTAAGGAATTGGCTCACACAATTGTGGAGGCTAGGAAGTCTAAAATTTACAGGGTTGGCAGGTGGCTGGAGACCTGGGGAGGAATTGCAGTTCGAGTCTAACGGCAGTCTGCTTGCAGAATTTCTCCTGGGGGGATCAATCCTTTTCTATTAAGATCTTCAACTGATTGGATGAAGCCCACCCATATTGTGGAGGGTAATCTGCTTTACTCAAAGTCTGC